CCTTACCTAGAGCCGGCTCGCTCTGCCCCACATTCCTCCATCACCCACCAAAGTTTCTCTTCCGGCTCCGCCTCTCAACACGCCCTTCCTCATTATCCCGCCTTGCGATTGGCTCACTTCTTCTGCCCCGCCTTCACCGAGGGGCCCCTCTTCGCCTTCCATTGGCTGCTCCGGCCTGTCGGTCTCCCTTCGTGTCCCGCCTCCTTTCGGGGTGGGAGGGGGAGGAGGCGAAGACGCAAGGCCCGAGAGGCTTGTCTTCGTGGAGGAACGCGATTGGCTTGTTTCCACGCCCATCGGAAAAAAGGCGCCTTTGGGCCAATGGGGAGGAGGCGGAGGCGGGGCGCGCGGATTAAAAAAAAAATAAGAGGGAAGTGCGTTGTCAAGGAGACGGGCGAGGTGGGAGGAAGCGGAGGGTGCGCCACACTTTGTGGGCGCAAATTGCCCCTTTTCTCTGGAGGGGACGGGATAAAGAAGGGGCGCGGGGCGGCCCGAAAGGCCCCCTGCCATATCTTCCGAGCACCAATCGCTCCAAACAGGACAACTTCCGCTGCAGAAAGCCGGCGCCGCCATGTTTGCTTTGGGCAGAGAAGCGAAGTGTTTCGTCACATCCGGAAGCCTATGACGCAATTTTCCCCAAACTTGCCAGGGCTAACACGGGATCCGCGTGGCACGTCGGAAGCGGAGAGAGAGAGACGCGGTTCTTCGTGTCAGAGACTCGGTTTTATAATGAAATCCGCGTCTTTGTCGCTTTCTTTGTATTTCTTTTTAAGGAGAGCCCTTGGCAGGATTGATTATTGAATGAAACCACTGCAGCAATTAATACACGTTATGTGTGTGATATGATTTGTGGCACGCTTGTATCATACTGAATGCAGATGTTCTGTTTTGTTTCTAAATAAATATATATAGGGAAAAAAATCTGGGTAGTCGCTTGGGGTTGCAAATGGCTTCATCATGGTACCAAGTTATTCTATTTAAGCAGCTAGTGTGAAACCATTCAGAACAGAAGAAGTTGCAAGATCTGCAGAGGGGAAAATCAAAATACTGGATATTGGAAGGGCAAAGGAGCAGGTGGCCATGGAAATAAAAACCTCAGGGATTCTCACGCTTGCTGGCTGGCAAAGTTCCCCTCTCCATCTACGGATTAAGCAGAGCGAAATTGGCACCACAAGAAGGGGATTTTCAGATTAACAACGATACAAATGAAAAGCTGATACATCTATGAATTGAATACTTTAGAATTTCTTGCTTTAAAAAAGGATAAGGATAACAACGATTTTTATGCATACTTGATAGAGGATTGGTGATATAATGTATATATATAATATAATATAACCTTAAGAACATATTACAATGATGTCTTGTTGATAAATAATTTTAATAAGGGGATAATTNCTAACTAACTAACTAACTAACTAACTAACTAACTAACTAACTAAGCATTCCTACCCTCCATTGTTAGACCGCTCAACCTAACCTCAACTGGATGCTGAATTTCATGCTCTTTCAGTTAGCTTTGGATATTCTGTGCTTCGTACTGAAGCGTCTACGGATTCTTTCCTGCACCTTCGCAACCCCAAAGTTAAGGTAAGTTTGAAATCAGCTGGCTAAGAAATCCAGGAACAGCAGCTAAAGGAAACTGCTTCTCAAAATGCAGCCTAAACACGAAAAATAAGGAGGGGGGGGGGCTCTTGTTAGGTTCAACTTCCCCCCACTGGACGCCTCTGCGTGCAACTGAGGAGGAGCGCCTGACCTTCTCCGTCAGAATTCTGGGCTCCGAAGTTCCAACACGTCAGCAGAGAGATAACAGGAGGGAGAGATCGGTGAGATTGTTTACTTACAACCTACCAAGCACCACACAACCCAAAACACCCGAAACAAAGGAGCACCAGATGCCAGAAGCGACAGAGAGAAGCCTTGTGGGTCGCCCCAGAGGCAAAACTCAAGGCCATCTTTAGAGATGAGGGCGGGCTCCTTGTGCTCCTGAACTTGCTTTTTTGCAGACGTTTCATAACCCAGCTAGGTAACTTCATCAGTGGGAGTAGCGTATCATCACCAAGGACCCCACATTTCCGCCCACAATTATTCTCCTGGATTGGCTTTCTTTTAGGGAGCAAATTGGAGTGGGACACTCCAGGGACAGACCTGGGGAGGCCTTGGGCTTCAGCACCATCAGCTCCAACCCGCCGGAGGTCACACTGAGCTCGGTGGTCTGCCCTGTGTAGGTGGCGATGCCCATGTAGCCCAGGCCCAGCTTGCTCCTCAGGAAGGCCCAGCCCTTCAGGACCGCCTGGCACTGCCCTTCCACCAGCAGCACCGGAAGCAGCACCACCAGGAGAGCCGCCAGCACCGCCGCCAGCACTGCCGCCCAACGGGCCCGGAGCCAGAGGGAGACCCATTTCAGGTCCGGCTCCACCACCGTCACCGCGGCGGCTGCCATGGAGGCCAGCTTCATCTGGGCGCCAGGAACAGCGGGTGCCGCATCGTCCTTCTGGAGGGTCTCACCTGAGGAAGGAAGGAAGGAAAAGGGGGGAGGATTAGCAAGGAGTCCCCCAGGTGGCTCTCCTCGCCCCGTTCACACAACCCGTCTGACCCGGATCTTGGCTGGAGGAGCCACCACTAACTAGGCTCTGGCAGCAGAGGCCGACCTGGCCCCCANCTAACCACTGCTGGGGAATTCTGGGAGTTGAAGTCCGGACATCTTCAAGTTGCCAAGGTTGAGAAACACTGCTCTAGTATCTCCTGCTTTTCAATCCCTGGCACCTTCTCAAACCGTTGCGGCTTCATCCCGTCTGATCTGGACTCTTGAGAGACTCCCATGAGCAACTGCCGATGAACATCTGGGGGGGTTTGATCCATTGATGAGGCTCCTGAGGAACATCTGGAGAGAGCTGCAGGGGCCCCAGCCCAGATTAACGGATTTATTTATTTCTTTTGCTAGAAGGAGACATCAACGGTTGCGCGTCTCTTGTCTAAGCAAGGGGGGGGGGAAGCAATCTCAACATCTGTTTCATCTGTATTTGAAAGAAAAATCCTGCTCTCTTAATTCAACGCGCAGGAAGATAGGCCAAGTTTGACCAATAGCCAAACTCCCTTTCCTCCTGTCCCGAGTCATTAACGCTGAGTCACGATAGAACCTCCAGTTCCAGGGAGAGTCTACCTCAGTGAACGGCCAAGGCTGGAGGAGAGCCATGCCTTTTACTTGTGGCCTTTTTTGACCTTTCACATGACCAGAAGCATCCAAGGTGCACCCCCAGCTGTGAATAATATTCCCCCCAAAACCCTTGAAAGTCACACCGAGGAAGGTCTTCCCTGGAAACCCCCAAATCTCATTTCCTTCCAGAAGTGTTTGATTGTTTCTTTGGCCAAACTTGAACACCCAAAAATGGGACGATGAACTGTGAGGCGAGGGCTTTCAACTTGGCTCCGGGTGGCTCCAGAGGAGGGATGTTGCCATCAGGTTCCCACTAATTAACACATTAGCTCATCCCACACCCACAGCCCTTATTTATCTCTGATGAAACCCTCCGTTAATTACACTGGAGCAGCGCAAGGCATTAATTTGTGGGCTCCGAGATCGCGCCTTGAACTCTGAAAGGCCTTCTCCCTTCCACTTCCCCCCCAGCGCTGAAGAATCCGAAGGAAGGGAGCTGCCCAAGAGGCCTCAAGGAGAGATGGGATTTCCAGATGCTGCCATGTTTTTAATTTCTCAAAACCCAAAGAAGAAACGGTGTGTGGCTTATCACTCTGGCCTTGGAGACTGCAGAAACCGCCAGGGACCGTTCAGAAGACAAGGAAAAGGTTCCTAGAGAAACAGGACTCCCATTTTCACGGGGCACAAAGTAGAGGAAATTAAATTACCTAAAATTATTGTCTTTGCTTCTTGCCAGGGGAGACGGGAAAAACACAACAGGAAACAGCTGGTGCGTGTGTGTGCGTGCGTGGTTTTGCGTTTGTCCCTTTTTTTGTGTGCGTATGAGGATCCCTTGGGATCCCGCAGAGATCCGGACCCTTCCCACTCTCCCGGCCTTCCGTAAAGCAACCAAGACCTGGCTGTTCCGGCAGGCCTGGGGCTGTTGATTAAAATCCATCCCCACGTGATTGAATGGATGACATCTTATTTTAAATAACTGTATTTTTAATATTTTATGTTTTTACTTTTGTTGTGAGCCGCCCAGAGTCCCTAGGGAGTGGGCGGCATGCAAATCTTATTAAAGTTGCAAAAAAGACCACGAGACTCCATGTGTGAAAATCAAGTGTACTTTTACTAATTATAAATGATTAAAGGCATAGCGAAGCGAAGTCTGATTATTTAGNGAAGCGGTATATAAGTCTAACTGCTATTGCTATCCCCGCTTTTCAACAAAGGAAGCCTTGTGGAGGAGCTTCAGTTCGAGTGACAAGCTAAAGTCTCGTCTCCGCCGCAGGATTGTGCCAGAGGCAGAGAATGAAATTTTCCCCTGGAACTTCTCACTAAAAGTGTGTCCAATGTGGTGTCTTTCAGAGCTCTGGGCTGGGCAACGTGGCTTGCAGAAGGCCAGCAAACAAACCATGATTTGTTGAGCTGCGATGAATTTTGCGCATCCAGCCTAGGCTCTAATGAAGGGCATTCAGTTCTCTTCAGGCCAGTCCTTCCAGCAAGAAGGGGATCAGGGAAAAACCAACTTTCTTGTTATTTCTCTTTGGTATTAAAAGCTTCTGTTTTTCTCCCCAAAGTCCGGGAAATGTAGATTTCAGTGCTTCCCCTGGGAGGGTTCACACCAAAAGAACCTGTCTCTTTTCCCAACCAGGCTGGCAAAAACCTGCCTACCCACCCACCCACCCACCTTCTCCTTCCTCTGGTCTGGTTAAAAATAGAAGCAGGCCAGTTTAAAGTGAGTTACCCTATATATTTCTAACTCCCCCTCCCCAGGTTTCCATGGCAGCCAACAGGACTGGATCCTCTGCTTAATACATCAGAGAGAGAAGTCTTGGGGGGGGGGGAGTGAAGGACATTGCCTGATGCTGCCTAATTTTCCCTCTTTTTATGAGTGGGGGGAACAGTTTTTATGCTTCTGAGGTTAATCCACTGCAGCAAGAGTTTATCTCCTCTTTTCTTTAAGATTTCTCCTTTGAGATATCCACATGTGCGGTGGGGAAAATTCCCAGCAGCAAAAGGCTCAGAGGTTTCAGATTTTAAACTTTCCCCTTAAAAAAAAAGGCAATCAAGACTCTAGTCCACATTGCGGGTGTCAAGAGATCTGGAGCAGCGCTGGCTAGCCGGCTCAACGGACAGAAATATGTTCTGATATTACGATGCAGCTGGAGGGTGGAGCTTGGAAATATTTTGGCACATCTCTCCTCTCCTCTCTTAGGAAAATTGGGCTGAGTTGCTGGACAATTCTTGTGTGTGAATTGATGGGAACCCAATTCAGGCCTACGCTAAAACTTGAGAAGGTCTTGCGCTTAATGACGAGATACACAAATCGTACGCAAGGCAGAGCTTCTCGCTGGTGTGGGTGGTCTTCACAGCTTCTGGGGAGGGGGCTTTCTTCTCTGCCCACCCCCCAATCACTCTAGTACAGTGTTTCTCAACCTTGTCAACTTGAAGATGTCCGGACTTCAACTCCCAGAATGCTGGCTGGGGAATTCTGGGAGTTGAAGTCCAGACATCTTCAAGTTGACAAGGTTGAGAAACACTGTCCTAACCACTGCTGGGGAA